CAATAAACTTCTATTTTTATGAATTATTTATTAACATACATTAAAATGTACAAATAAACAAATAATATTATTGAATATTATGTAAATAAAATTATATGTTTTAGTGTTGTACAGAAATCCGTTTTTACATTCAATTTAATAATAAAAAAAAAAAAAATGTTTTTATGTCACCATAAGTCACGTAAAAATATGCATGTACTAAATTTAAAATTGATACTAAAAACTTGAAAATAATAAAATATTTATTATTTGTATGACTGCAGAATTTATGCAGCTATAAACCACGAGTATACACGCAACAATAAAATGATATAAATTATCACAAATACCATAATGATTTTTTTATATTATCATAATGTATATAGTAACTTTTATTAACTTTGGTAAATACAAATAAAATCTGTTCTTGTTAGTATTATTTTTAAAAACAATATAATTCAATAACTTATAGTGTACACTATTATAGTCTCTGCTCCAAATTATTTAATGTTCGTGCGCAATTATTATATTAATTCCATGTGCAGTACATTTTTCTATACAAATTATTCGTGATTATACCAAAATTGTTGTATTTAATAAAATATTTAATTATAAAGTATAATCATATTATTCAACCCTGATTGAAATTTATAAAAAAATATTATGGTGAAATCTATGTAATTTTATAACCGTGGTTGAAATCATTATAAATCGCTGCTTAGTACTCATATTATGTGAAATATAATAATGAAGTGTTTGAGTAATCCGATTACTGTATGCGTTGTATTACCATGATTTATATAAGCACCGGGTACCTAGATCGACCGTTACTAAATTCTGTATATAATTAATAATTACTGATTATGGTAAACATTGTTACCGTAGCATGCATATTTCATATTTAATATTGTATTAATATTATAGAATATGTATAGGTAGTGTATAATGTATATATATATATAGGTATACGTATTTACCTATGAACCCATGTATTAGCTGCTTTGATCAACAGGATAAACTAACTAATCATACTACACTGTATTAAGTATATAGATAATGTAATCTAAATTAAATCTATGAAATAATAACTTTTATTTTGTTTATTTTATTTTGTTATAGTGAAAAAAAAATACTAGTTTCTCTTAAATTATTTTATAACTAATGTTGCATCTTTATTATAGTGCTCACCACTAGATTTGAGTATATCAATGAGCATATTCGTTCGATGACAACAATTAAATACGTACAAGTACTACATAATAATATATACTAAATTATTATAGTTATTATAGTGAATTTGGGTAGGTTCATGACGTCCCTATTATAACTTATAATACTTTTTTTTTTACTATATTTTAAAAACAAACAATCTGTAATTCATTTATTACAATACGCCTGTATACAGATATATATTATATTTATGACATGAGACAGATGAGAAAAGTAGCCACCCAATGACAACGCTTTACTTAGGGATTTGGTTAGTTTTTATTATGAATTTTAATTATATTTATCTGTTTCTATTTTCTTTCCATAGATCATAGGTCATGCACCATGATCTCTTTAGCCTGCGAAGAGGATTTCCAGAAATGGCATCGGAATTTAGCTCTGATATAAGATGATATTTATGGTTTGTTATTCGAGAGCTGAAACGTTTGTATAGTACCTTTAAGGTTTCTACTTCTGTTTATTTTTAAATCAGTATAAAGGCTGATTTAAGATATAGAATGGGGCCATTTGTAATTATATGAAGAGTTATGAATTGGAAAGTTTCATTTTATATATGTTTGATTTTTGGCCACCCTCCATAGTTCGATACCATATGTCTGGATGGGCATAAATAGAGTTTTGTAAAGCAAAACCTTTGTTTTTATGCTGAGCTTAGAATGTTTACCAAGTAAGCAACAGAGGGATTTCCGCCTTGAATTGAGTAGGATACGTTTAATTTTTAAATGGTCAGCCCAGGTTAGACGTTGGTTTAGGGTTAAGCCTAAGTAGCGAGAGCTTGTAGACTTTGGAATGTTGTGATTATTTAAGGTGACATGCAGATGACATTATACCCCTTTTTAAAGTGAAAGTCAAATGTGAAGATTTCTCATGATTCATTTTTATTTTTCATTTGTGTACCAGTATTCCATGAGGTCTAGAGGATTTTGTATATTATAACTACCTGTTATTGGATTTTTATGTGTGGAATAGATAATTTTGTCATAGGCAAAATCCGCAACGGAATTGTGAAGGATCATTGGTTGATCGGTCAGTACATATTGAACATAATAGGAGAGGATATGGCACCTTGGGTGACTCCTGCTTGCTGTTGCTATTGGGCCTAAAGAAGACATTTCAGATCTTACTTTTGTTGCAAAATAACGGCCTTCAAGGTAAGATTTAAAATGTAAATAGTAAGGTGGGGGTAAGATAATTTTTATTTGAACAGAAGGCCGAGGTGCCAAACTTTGTCAAATGCATGAGCCATATTATAATACTAAATGACTGCAAATGAGTAGGCATAAAATGTGCACTTAAAAAATTCATCGATTGTTCAATTCTCATATTTATAAAAATGAGGTTTACCTATATGGCCAACCCAATGTACTTATATTATTAAGACTGTTGAAATCATAACGACTAACGAGTGAAGTTCTATATTATCAATACACAAATAATACCTACCAATATCATATAATTAATTAAACTGCATGGAATATTCTTGAGTAATTTAAAGTCCCAAATTACGCTACATCTTTATTATAGATCTTATGAATTATAATTTATATTATGCATTTTATTTCTACAAATCGTTTTTACAATTTTCATTTACAATAAAATACACATTTTATTATACTCTAGAACAAGATATTTTACAAATTGTAATTATGAGCACTTAAAATGACATATGGTTACTTTTTGGAAAATATAATATGCAAATTAATAAAACTTTTACACCGCGGAGATGGCAAGATAGTAAAACGTGTGTATTTTCAAATTGCCATTATAAGTTAGAAAGTTCATTATCTTCGCTTGGTTTGTATTTGAAGCTTTTAATTCCAAACATTAAATGTTTTAATTAACGAAGAGTATATAGTCGTTTTACGTAGTTTTTCGTATAATATTGCGAACTAAAAGTTTAAGTGACGTAGCGACTATAGAGATAAACGAAAAATTATTCTCCTACTTGCACATAGCGCACAGATTTTACACTATTTGACCTATATTTATATTGTTTGAATGCACCAGCTAGTAATTGGTTCGGTATACATTCTGTGTATATTATTACAAGTTATTTAATTAATAGGGTCCATAAGATTAAATAATTGCAAATGTACTGTTTTCTTTACCAAGAGTTTATACACGTTGAACTTAATTAGTTATTCAGAAGGTGTTTTGATCGTTTTAGCTTTCATTTAAGTAATTACTTATAAATTAATGGTTTTTATTTACGTAATAATTCAGAATGTGAAATAAAATAAAGTTGACAAAATATAAGTTTAACGTACAAGGATAACTTCAGAGAAATATTACGCTTTATAATTTAAATCTGATGTTATTTGTTTCGCTAAGCGGTCACTATGAATTAATAAGTAAAATGGCTTAAAATTATGTGACATTTAATGAACTTCATGTAGTTTTTAAAATAGTTTTAGCAGTCTACTGCGGTTCTAATTTTGAACACATAAGATATCCTTCTTTGTATAATAATTATCTTTATATGACACATTAATAGCTCTAGCCTGAGATCTACAAGATATTAAAACCTTAACATCGGTGAAAATAGCAGAGAAAATTGGCGTCATAGCAATACTTAAAGGCTGTAGTAGGTCGTAAGTACCTATAACTTATAAATGTACTACATCAGTGAGGCTAAGTCAGTTATTCAATCAAAATAATATATTGGTATTTAAAATAGAATTTTGTGTTTTGTAAATATGAGAAGAAAAAATAGAAACCAAAACAATAATTTTATAATCCGTACATATAAAGATATGTAGGTATATAGATATAATAATGTACATGAAGCCCCCCCACTTTGTCCAAAAAACGACCAAATAATATGGTTTTACTCAAAACTGGATTATTTGCAACTATTTGGTGGTATTTTGAAGCCGATTGAACGAAGTGGTGAGATGTGGGCTAACTTCATGTAAATGATATAATATCGGTTTTTACGTTTTAGCTTCAAAGGGAACTGGAAAATGATGAATGTATTCAGTATTGATTTTACAACGAGGTATGTGTGTTTTTTTGTCATCACCTTTTTGAGCAGTGAAAATGAATAGATTTTCTACTCTAAGAACCTGGCAGGAAAGTGAATTTAGTTAGTATTTATTTATTTATTTTTTTCTGCAGTTGAAAAGTAAAAAATTCTCTGTATATTTATTAATAATTGGAGAAAACAAAACAAAGTATGAAAAATCGGGAATTCTTACACAAAACTAGTTTCGACAAAATTAATTTTCTTATTTGATTGTAGGTAAATTAACGAATAACCATAGATACTTACTTGATTTTTGCATAAGATTTTAAAATTAGCGTTTTCTATACATGGTATAATTTTTAAAATACTTTGACTTATTGAGTTATTGATAGACATGTAATATTTTCGATTTCATAAAATATTTTTTTATACATACCTATCGATAAAAAATATTCGCCCGGTAAAAGAGATTGACAATTTAATACAAGGTCCTTAGGTCATAAGTTGTTATTATGGCTATTTAAAAATATTGAAGATTCATAATGGTGTCACAATTTTTTTTATAAGCATTTGAATTGTAATTCAATAACATTTTTCGTGGAGATTTAAAACTTAATTTATAGGTATACTATTATATTATTTTATATACACGGTGATATTTCCAAAATATAGAAAATAATGTAAGTATTAAAAATTGTGTTAATCGGTTTTGATCACGAGTATTGTCACTTCAATTGCATCTCATCATAAATAATTTACCAAAATTCAATTCTATACGATGGTGGTATCGTATGTTATTATTATTTTTTAAGTGTTATAAAACAATATGTTTTATATCGAGATTTCGATTAATTCTGACGAGCATCTAAACACAAACATGACAGTAAAACGTCAAATACGGCCGTTAAAACGTTACAGACCTTTTCAAGACAAGTTTGACGTCTGTTTGATGAACGTTAACGAAGCATCAAGCTTGGTGATTTCTAAAACAGTTCGAGAGACAGAAACCCATTACATTTGTCGTGTGTCGTCGTGTCGGGAATTGAAAGTGTTCCAAAAAAAAGTATTAATGACATGTCTTTTACTCGATAACAGGCATGTGTTTTCTTCTTCGGTTAATCCTGCATAGCTGAGCTAGAAAGATAAGATTTTCATTTGAACGGAAAATTAAAAATGTATAAATAAATAACTATGATATACATATAATATCCTCTTTTAATTTTTTTATCCATTCGTTAATGTAAAACATGTTTTGTGGTCATTTATATTCTAAACTACGATAATCATAATAATATCACGATTGTTGATCAACAAAACACTCTTCAAAAATAGAATTTTGTGATGTTATTGGACGGTGATTGTGATAAAAGGCATTTACATCGAAACTTCTGTTATTCAGGAAAGACGGATAACTCACTTTGCAAGAGAGTTTTAGTTGAATATTTTCTCACAAACTCATAGATTTGAATAGAAAAAAAAAAGCGATAACCGATACCTACCGTGGACCAATATATCTTTATAGTATCTATTACAAATTATTATCACATGGTTTCGTGATATATACTATACCTATATGTATGTTAATTAATTGGAAATTCAGTAGCTCTAATTTTAAATATAATGCAGATATTGTAGTGCATTTTCAATATACGACTAATAGCCCTTTATCATGGATTGAAAAATAAAATAGATCATGGGCCTAAAAAACTGACTTGTGTGCATAGCACTATAGCAGTTCATACTTCATCGTGGATATATTAAACAATATTATATAATTATAAAAACTAATAAAAATATTACATACAATTTCAACGAGTAGTGTGTTTCTTAATTCTTATTAATTTTTAGATTAGCATTATTTGTATTATCAAAGTGTGAAAACCATACAATTTAACAATATTACTTTGTATTTTTGAAATATAAATTGCTTTCATTCGTTAAAAATGCAATCGATTTCATAACTGTTTTATCTCCATATTATAAATGGCTATTTTTGAATTACAAGTTCAATTAATGTTTATAATAAAAAATTGTGACTATGTGTCTTTAATATTCTTAAATAGCCATGAAAAAAAAATGTATAAGTAGATTTTTTAATTTTAGTTTTTTAAAAAAGGGAAACTATTAGACATTAGTCATACATAAGATAGGTACATTGAAAAAAACTACACTTGAATATTAACTATTAAACTTATTATATATTAGCATATGGCAACTATCTTAACTATTATACTATCTTAATATCATAACAATAATATTTTGTAATAATAGGTACTAATAGCCAAAGGTAAGTGAATTAATTAATTCAAACTGAGAATATTCATTACACCCATAGGCGTGCGCAGACCTTGCTGGCAGGGGGGGGCAGAATGTAATAATGTACCTATAGGTATATTATATAATATATAGGTAAGTAAATATTATTTTGGTTATTAGTTCAATTAATGTAAGTGATGGAAGTATTTTCATTTTATGTATCATTAAAACTACAAATAACTACAAATTTAATATAGTAATTGAAACTCCAAAGTTTTTTTATATTATATTAATATACATGAACAAAGAAAATTATTACATTCATACAGTGGTGGATCCAGGGGGATGGAAAAGGGGGCATTTGCCCCCCCCAATAACCGTAGTTTTCCTTTGTTTTACACTGTGTTTAGCCAATTTTGGAACTTTCATATACTTTTGAGCCCCCCATGCCCCTCCCAAAATTAAGCCCTGGATCCGCCACTGCATTCATATATATTTTTATGCCCGATGTGTTGGTGAAATCTGAATTTACTAATTCTACTTACTATTTATTTACAATTACAAAAAAAGTAAGTAAGATAGGTAAATTATTATTTGCACCAACACGTTGAACATATAAATATCAACATTTAAAAAAAAATGTAAATCCTTAGTATGATTTTTCCAAAAATAGTACCACTATTATATCATGCATTAATGTATCAATAATATTCTATTCTTTGGTAATATTGAAATTTATACATTATTGTAG